TATTGTGTGTCCCTTTCTCCTATCTCCTCGCCCTCCCTCAGTTATGCATGTACGGTACACAAAGGATGAGAGCAAAGAAGAGATGAGATGGGAGCATTGGTTATTGCCAGCTTCTGTAACTACTACCATCCTTTACCAGTAGAACCTGAAGATGTAGCTAGTGGTCCACATTAAACACCAACACACCCACTGTAGCGCAGGAAGAGTGGTTTTACAAGGGACTTTGAAGCCCTAATCTGCACTAAATGGATCCCAGAGGTGTGACTGGCGTTAGGAGATATGGCGAACTGTAGCATGGTGTAGGGAGATGAGGAGTTGGGTGAAATTGAGATGAGTGGGAGCCTGCTTAAAGAGAAGAGGAAGATGTTGCAGGCTAGAGACAAATTATCCCTTTTATTTCTTATCTCGCTCAGATGAACATATGTGATTTATTATTATGCAGGTGTATTTTTTTGTCAATGGAATTTGACGTCTTTGCCGCGCTCTGCTTCAAAGCGGGATTGTGAATTAGGGGCGTGCAATAAGGATCTAAAGATTTCACAGCTGTGACACATATTGTCATCAGATCCTCCTCTGCTTTCCTCCCCTCCACTGTAACGCCCCACACTGCTCCTCCCCATACAGTCTCTATGCAGTTTAGTGATGAAGAGACATTTGTAGGACCAGGGTAGCAGATAAACAAGGATTTGAATGATGTATGCAGCAGTCTGTTACTGACCACTTAAAAATGTATGTACAGGAGTCATTTGCATGAATAATACTCAACCCCGCCAACGCTCCTTCTTTCTCTCCCTCGCTCTCTCTCTCCCTATGTACCTGTCTCACACTTTTCTCTCTCATACACAAATAGAATTGTACTGTGTTTGGTCGTTTACATTAATATTGCAGCACTTTCCCACTTTGCATCTGCTGCTGATTTCCACAGCATTTGCTTTTAGGAGGGTAATGATTCCCTCAAGGAACAAAGAAACCAACCACAAACGACAAGAATACTGTGAGAGACAGAATACTGTGAGAGTTCGGTCTGTATATTGTAATGAAGCCTAGCTTGTAGAAATGGTCATTTCACTTTTTAAAAATGTAGACGACTGATTGTGGTGGATGAAGGTGCCTTTTTAAGATTTTGGATTCATATTGGTAGTTTTATGCGGCGTGTGTGTCAGTCTCATCCACTTTCTCTAGCAAACAGACATTCACCCACACACTCGTCTCCGCTGATCATAGGGTGTGGCTGGGTTAGAGGTGCTTCAGCATGACTGGGAGTAGAGATTGGTGATTTTAAATTCAAATGGGAGAGTTAGAATGGTGGTCTGTCCTTGTAAATTACCTGTCTCCAGTCGTAAATAGAAACACCTCGGCTCTACATCTAAGGTGAAAAAGTTAACGCTCTCACTTAAAATCCTCTTCCGTATCACAGGCATAGCCACGGAAAGACGTTTGGGGGTGGGGGGTTTGCAGCGCCCCCTAACAGCTTCCCCTGGCTAAGCACATAGCCCTCATTCTCCTCAGGGCTCCTCCTTGGCAGCTCAGTCGTAATGCTCGAAGCGTGAGAGATACAAGGGGTCTAGCTCATCTGGCAGGGCGCCGTTGGTGTCCAGACATGGATACACTGAACCCTGTTGGTGCTGCTATCGGTACAATTGTAATGACAAAAGAACGAGGCATGCAAGGACTGACCATCAATTATATCAAAATTATATTTTTAACCATGTTGAGGCTATACAGTGTTTGTTTACATTTATGTTGTTTACAAATATTGGATTAAAACAAGCTTGACTGAATCGAAAAAAAAAACAATTTCTTTGGATGAAAAAAATTATAATGTTGCCCCTGCTACAGAGGTCTATATATATATCTATATCAGTCCTCTAATACAGGAATAGTAAAGGCCCCAGTGCACTATTTTTGTGGGGGGATTTTTACAAATATATATATAAATTTTTTTTTATTCTGATTTTCCCGCGGCTATGCTCACAGGTAGGGTTTTAAATGCAGGGGCAGAAAATGGCCAGCCAGTGTGAATGACTTGGATCGTATGACGATAAAGGAAATAATGACTGCCTAAAAGGACTCCGAACCACTTTACTTTGTTATCCAGCATATTGGAGATGTCTGAGCTATTTCCGAGATGGTGAACTCCTGACCTGGTCTTATAACCGCACAATTGTATCTACAGCTCAGAACACTCTAGCTTTACCCAAGCTGGTCCAGTTAACTGGGAAGATGTGTTATAGTAGTTTCTAAAATAACCATCAAGATCTGCCGATCTGGGCCTGTGTCCACAAAGCGTCTTAGAGTACGAGTGCTGATCAAGGATCAGGTACCCAGCTGTCCATATAATCGTATTTATTATGCTCTAAAAGGCTCAACTGATCCTAGATCAGCACTCCTTTGTGTATATGGGCCCAGATATTAACTGGATTTGTCAGCAGTACAGTGAGGGGGAAAAAAGTATTTGATCCCCTGCTGATTTTGTACGTTTGCCCACTGACAAAGAAATGATCAGTCTATAATTTTAATGGTAGGTTTATTTGAACAGTGAGAGACAGAATAACAACAAAATAATCCAGAAAAACGCATGTCAAAAATTGTATAAATTGATTTGCATTTTAACGAGGGAAATAAGTATTTGACCCCCTCTCAATCAGAAAGATTTCTGGCTCCCAGGTGTCTTTTATACAGGTAACGAGCTGAGATTAGGAGCACACTCTTAAAGGGAGTGCTCCTAATCTCAGTTTGTTGCCTGTATAAAAGACACCTGTCCACAGAAGCAATCAATCAATCAGATTCCAAACTCTCCACCATGGCCAAGACCAAAGAGCTCTCCAAGGATGTCAGGGACAAGATTGTAGACCTACACAAGGCTGGAATGGGCTACAAGACCATCGGCAAGCAGCTTGGTGAGAAGGTGACAACAGTTGGTGCGATTATTCGCAAATGGAAGAAACACAAAATAACTGTCAATCTCCCTCGGCCTGGGGCTCCATGCAAGATCTCACCTCGTGGAGTTGCAATGATTATGAGAACGGTGAGGAATCAGCCCAGAACTACACGGGAGGATCTTGTCAATGATCTCAAGGCAGCTGGGACCATAGTCACCAAACAATTGGTAACACACTACGCCGTGAAGGACTGAAATCCTGCAGCGCCCGCAAGGTCCCCCTGCTCATGAAAGCACATACACAGGGCCGTCTGAAGTTTGCCAATGAACATCTGAATGATTCAGAGGAGAACTGGGTGAAAGTGTTGTGGTCAGATGAGACCAAAATCGAGCTCTTTGGCATCAACTCAACTCACCGTGTTTGGAGGAGGAGGAATGCTGCCTATGACCCCAAGAAGACCATCCCCACTGTCAAACATGGAGGTGGAAACATTATGCTTTGGGGGTGTTTTTCTGCTAAGGGGACAGGACAACTTCACCGCATCAATGGGACGATGGACGGGGCCATGTACCATCAAATCTTGGGTGAGAACCTCCTTCCCTCAGCCAGGGCATTGAAAATGGGTCGTGGATGGGTATTCCAGCATGACAATGACCCAAAACACACGGCCAAGGCAACAAAGGATTGGCTCAGGAAGAAGCACATTAAGGTCCTGGAGTGGCCTAGCCAGTCTCCAGACCATAATCCCATAGAAAATCTGTGGAGGGAGCTGAAGGTTCGAGTTGCCAAATGTCAGCCTCGAAACCTTAATGACTTGGAGAAGATCTGCAAAGAGGAGTGGAACAAAATCCCTCCTGAGATGTGTGCAAACCTGGTGGCCAACTACAAGAAACGTCTGACCTCTGTGATTGCCAACAAGGGTTTTGCCACCAAGTACTAAGTCATGTTTTGCAGAGGGGTCAAATACTTATTTCCCTCATTAAAATGCAAATCAATTTATAACATTTTTGACATGCGTTTTTCTGGATTTTTTTGTTGTTATTCTGTCTCTCACTGTTCAAATAAACCTACCATTAAAATTATAGACTGATCATGTCTTTGTCAGTGGGCAAACGTACAAAATCAGCAGGGGATCAAATACTTTTTTCCCTCACTGTACATTACATATCTGTGCTCTACAATGTGAACAATGGTTGGTTGTAGAACTGCAGGTCAGTAGTTGCAGCATCGCTTGGCAGAGTTCACAATGTGTTTGTGTGAATTCGCCTATCAGCATTTTTTTAATTGGCTGAAACAGGTCAGCAGTTTGCCTCTGGCATGAAAGGAGGAAACGGACGCATTCACTTCTCTCACTATCTCCTTGTCTCACTTATGTGTGTATCAGCCACTCAATCACACAGCTCGTGCTAATTGAGCTCGGCGGGGCTTTGCGGGTATGAACGTATACTACAGAAAAGTACATGACAGATGGCATCAATAGACATGTAGCATGAACCCTCTCCCTGTCTACTGCGTTGTCTCCGAGCTCCTCCCTGACGCCATGCAGCTCTTCTGCTCCCCCCAGCCAATGTCTCTACCCCTCATTCTCTCGCCTCTCTCTCCCGTCTCAGCTAGACAAACACCTCTGTGTTTGCAGATAGGCTGCTTCCTGCTCTTCGCAAACAAACACATGATCATTGACTGGCATCTGATTATCACAGTTGTTTGATGCATGATTTACTCAGCGGTTTGGCATTCAAAGTCGAGACGCTGCTGTTGAGTAGCGGTTGATTTATTTACTATAGGAATTAATTGTTTAATTAGTCTTGTTGAAACAAGTCTCCGGTTGTAATCCCCATACGCTTTGGGTAGTCGGTATCTTACAGCTTTTGACCAGCAGACATCATTATACCTTATTTTTTCACAATAGTTGTCACTCCCATCTGTCCACACCGTACGTGGCATAATCTCCTTCACCATGTGCTATGTTCCTTGTGCAATGCACTGTGTGCTTTTAGATTTTCTTGTCTTTTTTAAGCCAAATGGCTTGTATGTATTTTAGATCCACCTGTCCCTGTTAATTCTGTCCATTTCAATCTTTGTTTGGTTCCATTTTGTCCCTCTGTCATCTTCACCACCCTATAAAACACTCTCTTCCAGGTCTCCAATGTTGGCAGCCACACTGGAGTTTGAGGTGTTGTAGGCGTGCAGGTAGCCATGAGTGAGGGCTGGGGGGTGGTGGTCGCTGCCTGTGCTGCTCGCTGAACTGGCCGTTGAGGCGCACTGGACCAGCATGCCCTGCACCGACTGGCTCCTCCTGGTCCATATCACACTCAGTCGCTTCGCATATCCGTAGCAGGTTGTCGTGGTGATCTCGCCCATGTCAAAGGAGCAGCTGCGTGTCGGCCCTAGTGGCGGGTATTCGCCCCTCCTCGAGTCCTTCACGTGCTCCGACTCCTCCCCCTGGGCCTCAGAGTCTAGGCTGCATCTGGAGCTCACCATTTTGTCCAAGTCTCTCTCCTTCTCCTCAAAGCGGCGCAGCTTGAGCTTGCCTGAGTGTTTCTGGGCCTTGTGAACTCGGGGATGGGGTAAGGTCTGGGAGGTGTTGGCAGGGGAGTAGTACAGTGTCACTCTCTCACGCTCAAGGGTGAAAGGGGGGAATCCTTTCCCCCTCACGGCCATCTTCAGGCCCGGCTTCTCAGCCTTTCCCTCCCCACTGAGCTGATTGGAGTCAAGCTTTGGCAGTTTCCCGGGCTTGTTCTTGGCTTGGGGTCTGATTTTCGACGGCAGGGGCTTAGCTTGTTGGCCAAGAATGCTGTTGGACAGAGCCACCATCATCACACTCCCGTTTCCGTTGGTCTGAGCGTAAACGTCCACTCCTTCCTTGGAGGGCAGGAAGTCGTCATTGTGATGGGCAGGGTAGTGGCCCTCGTCTCGACAGTCTCCACAGACGCGGTGCCTTACCATCATCGCCACGGTGAACACCAGCAGAGTTACCACGATGACCCCGCCCACCATGACCGTCAGGGTGCCGCCCAGGAAGTGGGCCTGCAGGGAACGGCACTCTGGGAAGTCCTCCTTGGTGCTGAACTGGGTGCAGCCCAGGACCTTGGTGGTGGCCAGGGTGGACACCTCATCGTCAAAGATGGCCAGGACACACAGGCTGTAGTCTGCTCCAGACACCAGGTTCTTCAGCAGGAAAGAGTTGCTTGTAGGAGGCAGAATCCTAACAGACAGGGAAGGGTGAGGGTGTAAAAGAGAAAATAACATTGAGCCATTTTCTGAGCAGTGAAAGAGGATATCTGAAAGTGGCTAGAAGGTGGAGATAAATCGAATGAAATGCAATAATCTACAGTACAACTCCTAAGCGGTAATGATGATAATGAGCAGCCAGCAAGAGGGAGGAGGCGTCGGATCTGCTCCTTTGTTGTGGAAATGGCCTTAATCAATAATACTCTGCTGTAGTGGAAAAAGGGCAATAGAGACTGTGAAGGATATTCAGGATAACAGGAAGCAGAGTCTATTTACCAAACTTTTCCCCCTCCTCAGAAATGTGTCATGCCAAGCAATGAGCTGGCCAAGGCAATGACACGTAATCACACCCTAATTACCACCACCCCCGCCCAAACAATCTATGCCAGGAAGAGACTGCAAACACTCCAGCGTCTTAAATATTTGACCCCTCCCCGTCTCCCTGCCTTTAATCTCACCTGGCTGGCAGTTAACCTTCCTTGTACCCTTGCTCTACCTCATTCCTCCACACTATCCTCAAGTTATCTCCAGCTTTGGGTTACAAATCACTTTGTTAATACATTTACTTGTTTACATTCAGACATTATAATGAACATTTGAAAGATGGGCTTTACTCGGAACATTAACTCCAAATATGCAAGCTATTATCTCCATGGGTTTATATTCGGTGAATAACTTTGAATTGTAAGCTCTATTGAAAAGCTCTCACAGGGATATGCTGTTCAAACAAATTAGGGATGCAGTCCCAGGGACGGTAGAAATTAATGTTTGCTGTCATCCCTCTTTAATTTAGTAATGACGACTACATATGCCTTGGCATATGTTAGGCACCGAAATTGTGTATTTGCATAGTTTTTACTTTGATCTTAGAAGGCTTAACAAGCAGTTCACCTGTCCTTTTTGGGACGTCAGTGAATTATGAGGCATGAAATGTTTGATAACATGTCTGACATCATCAGGGGAGAAGGATGAAGAGGTAAATCATCTTGGCTACTTTCTCAAGGGTATGAGACTAACCATCACTTCAATCTGCCTGTGCAGTACATTGTCACAATGATTCAATTTATCTGCTCTTCTTTTTTCTCTCTCCTCTCCATTGTCCATGGTCATACAGAGGTTCTCCTGCAATGAGTGTGTTTGATTGAACAAAATGACATGTTCCCTGATGACTTATTCCATGAACATGACAGGCTGGAGATACAGTTCCCAAGAAAAGAAGAAGGTTAAAGGAGAGTGGATAAACAAGAGTGAGAGCTTGAGATGACGGATTGGGAGGCTTTCTTCCGGTTTTTCATTTTCATTCTGACAGCATTCCGTGTGCGTGCCAGTGTGTTTGTCGACACAATGTCCTGACAAGTCCTTGAGAATCATTCAGTATTTTATATAAAACACTGCATCTCTATTTAGGTACCTCTCCCTACCTCCACAAACTGAAGTGAGTGGGTTCAGTGTTCCCTAGACCCAACCCCCCATCTCCCTATTTATCTCCATTTCAGTCAGCGGAATGGAATGTGACACTGTCCTCAGAGCTGCAACTTGCGCTCTTATAAAGAGTTCATCCTCCTTTTCCCCAGAGTCTTCAGGCTCTCTCTCCTTCCACTGCCCCATCTCCCTTCCGATCCCTCTATAAATACCTTGCCCTCTTTTACAGTCCACTATGCCTGCTCTCCTTTGTTTCATGAGTCAGGGATGGTGTGTCATGTTCATCACCCCTGGTCCCTGGGATTCAAGAACACTCAGAGAACTCCGGTAAATGTAAAACCACAGGGGCGTTTTTGTACATCACAGTATTACAATTGAAAAGAACACACAGGTATTTTGTGTTTTGCATCTAGCCTCATTGATGATCTGTTCATGCTTGGCCAATTGGGAACTGGCTCTCAGGATGTGCAGAATTGCTTTGTTGCTGAGAGGAGCTTACCTGTACACCAGGGCGTCGTCTGCAGTGCAGTTGTACTGGATCTGGTACATCCACACCAGGTACGGCCCAGTGGCCCGGCCCAGGACCCAGCGCACCTGGGCAGAGGTGGCAGTCACCCCCAGGACCCCCACCAAACGCTCACTGGTACTGGCGTCTCCATCCCGCCTCTCTCCACTCTCCCCCTCTCCTGTGGTGTTCTTGACAGAACCCCCACCACCCTTCCCGTTCCTACCAGCTCCTCCTGTTCTCCCACTGGAAATGTCTGAGGAGCCTGGGTCTCCACGAGGGTTGGTGAGAGGGACTGTGTTGTTGCCGCGGTGAGGGAGGGGGATGATCTTCAGGTCTATCAGGGCTGTAGCCTCCCCGGCAGCGTTGATGGCGATGCAGGTGTAAGCCCCGTCGTCACGGGCACGGGTCACCAGCACGTCCAGGGTGCCATTGTAGTAGGAGTACACACGGCTGGAGTTGGCCACGATGCGGTCGTCAGGGGAGATCCAGTGAATGATTGGCTCGGGGTCACCGATGGCACGACACCTCAGTGTGGCCCTCTGGCCTTCCAGCACCCACAGCTTGTTGGAGTGGCGCGTGATGAGCGGAGGCTCACAGGTGAACTCCTCCTCTGGGATGGACCAGAAGTAGCGCCCGGCCAGGTGGACAGGAGTGGCACACGTCTCCATGTCGTCGCTGCGGATCAGCCGCCTCAGCCACAGCAGCTCACAGTTACAGTGCAGGGGGTTCCCCCCAAAGCTCAGGCTGATAAAAGTGCTGTAGGGCGTGGGGCTGACCATGCCCGTCTGGGAGCGGGAGAACAAGGGGTCGGGAGGCAGTGTCTGCAGCCGGTTGGACGTCATATCCAGGCGGGCCAGCTTGTAGAGTTCACCGAAGGAGCCCTCAGCGATCTGGTCTATGAGGTTGTGGTCCAGGTTAAGGGTGTGCAGGCTAGCCATGTTCTGGATGGCATCCCAAGGGACCTTCCTTAGGTTGTTGTAGGACAGGTCCAGATCCTCCAGCGTCTGCAGGAAGTCATCAAAGGCCTCGGCGGAGACGTCGGTCAGCTGGTTGTTGTTGATGATGAGGTGCTGTAGGTTGGTCAGTCCGGACAGGTCTCTTGGCCCCACTATGGTCAGCCGGTTGGTGTCCAGGTGGAGTGAACGCAGGCTCTCCAGGTCAGCGAAGGCCAGGGGCCGCAGGGTGTGGATGGTGTTCCTGGACAGAGTCAGTTCCACCAGGCCTGACATGTTGGCAAAGTCCACCCTGCCCACCTCCAGGATGAAGTTATCTGCCAGACGGAGCTCCACGGTGCGCCGATCAATGTCAGGAGGGACGAACAGCAGGCCCTTGTTGACGCAGAGCGTGCTCAGAGACTCTGAGAGGTTTCGGCACACACAGTGGAAGGGACAGATGGAGACCATGCCCCAAGTCTCTCCAGCAGACACACCCGGGCCTGGGCCAAGTAGAGCAGGGAAGAAACAGGAGCCGGTTACCACGGCCAGCCAGACTACAGTCTGTGGGGTCAGAGGGCAGGCAGGGGGTCTCAGGGAAGGGCTGGTCACCTTTGGCTTCAGTTTAGGAGGGGGTGCGCTTCTGTCTGGGTGGACAACTTTTAGAGAGGAGCGTCGCTTTGAAGGCCTCCGATAGGATTTGGAGTGGTGTAGAGCCAGGTATGGGTGTAGTATTTGTGGGTTGGATTTAGGCATTGTTGAGCTGGTTATTCACCTGCGGAAGTAGAAATGGGACATTGTTAGATTCCTCTTTTCTATTGGTTTTTTGATTCAGTGGCTTTTAGATCTAACAGTGTATTAGAGGTATTGGATTGTGCAATTGGTATTTGGAGTTTTAGATATTGACAATCCATGAACATGTTGGTCAACACTGCTTTTATAATCTGTGTTGATATGGTTCAGCTATTATGTTTGTGTAGGCCTATGTGTGTGTTTAAGTGTAATTTCAGTGAGATATAAGGCAAGGCTAGATTGAATATGAACCTCCAAGCCTGGGATGTTTTCCCAGACAGGACACTGTTCAGCGGTTCTGGGTTGTGGCCATGTCTACTGAATTACACAGACAGGACACTGTTACTGGGGCCAAGTGTCCTTCTGTTTGTTCTCACCCTCCACTGCCCACTGTTGTCACGAGGGATTGCCCCATTAATCTGATGCATTACTGTGTGTGACGTGTCGTTGATTGTGAACATTAACATGCATGTTCCATCTAATGAGAAGGAATAACAGGGTTGAAAACCTGATCAGAAAAGGCAGGTCCTAAAAGAAGTTGAGTAGTGGTTTGTAGTGCGACTGACTCTCCAGGTCGTTATGTTCAAATGGACTTTGAGTGGAAGCCTAGTCGCTTGAATTGTCTGAGTTACATTACAAGGCTGATGATTGTGATTAATGTAACGGTGTTGTGCTTTCCACGGCTGCTGCATTTCACCGGGTTGAGAATATTCAATTTGTGCTCGTTTGAGCCTTATGCAAGGCAGGCTGCTTCTGCTGTCATGCTCACAAAGCACAGTTAGTGTATGTGTGCGAGGGAGAATAAGAGGGTGAGATGAAGGACCCATGAGGGAAATAATGGTTACAAGCTATAAATACCTATGTGTGGTAGAATGTAGACTGTTTCTCTATGCATGCCATGCATTGTGTAATGATATACATAGACGCCTTACCGAAAAATGTTGTGGTGTGTAAGGTGGGGTTGAGGTGTGTGCTGTAATATTTTATACTATGATAAAAATCCCTTCACTATATTATCAGAAATCTGTTTATGTGGTTTACCTTTGGACCTGTATGTCTGAGGGGGGGAGTAGAGAGGGATGCATGGTAAACGGGTTAGATTCACGATCGAGTTAGCCTAATAAGCATGACGTTATATCCCATACCTTTTGTCTGAGCAGGCTGAGGGTTTGAATGGATTGCGCATCCCCCTTAGTTCATAGATGGCGTCTGAGGCGTGCACAGGATTGGTTTGTCCCCTGCAGTAGGTGACTTGTAGAGGTGAGTAAATTACATAGCCAGCAGATTGTTTTTCTTTTAAACAATGCTATAACTGAGTCTTTTCAATTTGCTTTTAACCCTTTTTTGGTTTTGCTATTTCCTCTCCTGATTCCATGATTGATGGCTAAATAGACCTGTTGTTGCATCACTATCCCTCTGTCCACCTATCCATATTCACTTTGACTTGAGCTCAGCCCCAAATCAACACGCTTATGAGCAATTTGATGCTTGTCAGTTTCTCTGTCACTTAAGCAATAAGGCATGAGGACCCGTGGATTATTGTGTGAATAACTCCTGACTATGGGCTGTTCTAAGGCCCGACGCGGAGCTGTTGCTAGGTCAGTCCATTTTATACATCCTCCGAAATATGAAGAGTGCAAGGATTAGCAGAGGGACATGGGCACAGATAATGAATTTCACCCACAATGTGCATTACAATCTGAACAGGCTGCGAGTTAGATACTATCTCCTTATGATAAACACATGGATACTATCCCCTTATGATAAACACATGGATACGATCTCCTTATGATAAACACATGGATACTATCTCCTTATGATAAACACATGGATACTATCTCCTTATGATAAACACATGGATACTATCTCCTTATGATAAACACATGGATACTATCCCCTTATGATAAACACATGGATACTATCTCCTTATGATAAACACATGGATACTATCTCCTTATGATAAACACATGGATACGATCTCCTTATGATAAACACATGGATACTATCTCCTTATGACAAACACATGGATACTATCTCCTTATGACAAACACATGGTTCTGTTTTACTGTGAAAACAAATGAATATAAACTTACAGAAGTTTTGCTGCTTGTGCTGTTCAGGATGCCATCCACTGATTCGTTCTGATAATTGGAGCATGAATCAAAATAATCCGATTTTAGTTTTTCAAGCATGAGCCCCGAGGATTTCAGAGACAACAAGTTTATGTTTTCTGGATCGACAAAAGATTTGAAATGTTTGAAACATTTCATTCTGCTTCACAACATTTATCCTCCTCTGTCTCTTATCTATTCACTAATTGCGGTCTTCAGTCTTCTCCCAGGACAGTATCCAGTCTCTTCTCTTTACTCTGTAGTTATTGGTATTCAGACCCCTCGTCCTCTCGCTGTGCATCTGTCCTTTGCAGAAGCAAAGGCTCTAGAACATCCCCAAGCCTGTGTTATCTCTGTGTTGGAGAACAGCCTTATTCCTCTCAAACATCCAACCCCTCTCCCCCCTCCTCTCTAACCCCCTTTGTCCTCCTAAATGGGCAGTTCAGTTTCCCCGCTGTGTGGGAAGGGTAACGATGCCTTCTCACTCCCTGGTTCCTTCCGTCATGCTGCCTTTTTGTTTTAGTCCTTCAGACAAGCCCAGGGAAAGGAGCGGTACTGTAAAAGTAGAAGGCTCTCAACCATAGATATCAACAACCTATAACAATCGCATGTTTCACCTCTGTGGTCGCCGCGCTTTTTCACAACTCAATCAATCGCTTGTTTTGACGTTATTTTCCCCTGCTGTCCTGTGCTGTACCAGTCTGTGATTTGTGGATTTATCTGCAGCTAGCCTGTGTGTGTGAGATTGAGGGAGAGACTGCAATGTGTGTGCTACTGAGAGAGGACAGCGGGAGGAGAGCATGAGGGAGAGAGGGAGGGAGGGAGGGAGGGAGGGGGGGAGGGGGAGAGGGAGGGAGGGGGAGAGGGAGGGCCTGAAGCAGTCCTGGTTTTCAATAGGAGGGGGGAAGATGGAATTGGAATGGCTAGGAGAAAAAGCAGAAAATGAGCATAAGAGAAATGAATCAAAATGAAGAGAGGAGCGTGTAGGAGGTTTTGGAAGAGGTAGAGCCAGCAGTCTTACCTCCCCCTTTTATCATTTATTAGCCAAACTGTTTGGGCCAAAGTAAGAGACAGCTTCATTACTGCTGGGTTTTAAGAGGTCTATTTGCACAAGCCCTTAGAAAATGCAGACTGGTCAGCTAGTTCATATTTGGTGGTTTCCTATCTGCATTGCTTGTAGAACACTGTTCTAGTGAGAAAAATTATGGAGACCTAATCAGGTAGCTTTATGCTGAGGTGTCTGAAATGGGATATGGCAGTGATAGTCCTCATTGGTTACTATCAAGAGTCCTGTTTGTTAAACCAACAGTTCTACGTTTAAAAGTCATTTTGTGAATGTTTGCGCTATAATTTGCCGTTTACCTTGAATATTATGAAACCTATTGTTATTCTTAGAATGTATTTCTCCCTTGATATGGTCAAATAACTCCTACATTGGTAACTTTTTTCTAATTTGGCGCACAGGAACTAGAGGTCTTGAATAACTTCGTCAAAAATAATGGCACCGGTTGGTCTATAGGTGGCGCTGTTATAAGCAGTCTCACTTAAACCCTCATATCCACCGCCCCGTTTGACCTAGAGACTTGAAACTTTCTAAGTAGGCGTCTTTCCTCCATGCTGAACAAATTTGCCTCAAGGACCGATAAGGTCCGTCAGGATAGATTTTCCTCCATCTTGGAATTTTGGGAAAACCTTTGGAACTTCTCATGAACCATAAATCAAAATGAATGTAGGCCCATAGTACACCACTTAACTTCATTTGAGAAAAGCTAAGGGATTGGTTAAGAGATGGCTGAGAAAAGCTAAGGGATTGGTTAAGAGATGGCTGAGAAAAGCTAAGGGATTGGTTAAGAGATGGCTGAGAAAATATAAGGGATTGGTTAAGAGATGGCTGAGAAAAGCTAAGGGATTGGTTAAGAGATGGCTGAGAAAAGCTAAGGGATTGGTTAAGAGATGGCTGAGAAAAGCTAAGGGATTGGTTAAGAGATGGCTGAGAAAAGCTAAGGGATTGGTTAAGAGATGGCTATTATTATTGTTAATAAATCAGGAAATCAGGTTTTACTTGTCCATTTTAAATCCTTTGTAAATCCACTCCACAATGGCCTATCAACTTGAAAATGTTTAGGGTCATCAAAGACATTATCATGATGAATCACGTTAAGTTTGGCAGTGATATCACAGATAGAACAATGAGACAGATATTTCACTGGACGTATAAATGTGAAGCATCTGCTTGGCGTTTCCACTCACTACCAAATATGGTTGTGAGAGGAAGCTCAGTGGCCGGCAGTGGGAGGAGATGGAGTGAGATGGATTTTGGTTGACCTTCTGCAAATATAAATATATGTATGTGAATGGTGTGTGTATTGACGGTATATGAATAGAAAAGGTGTGTACAGCAGTAGTTTTTATATGATGAGCCATGACTAGAATACAGTATACACATATAAAGTGGGTAAAACAGTATGTAAACATTATTAAAGTGACCAGTGTTCAATAGGGCAGCAGTCTCTAAGGTACAGGGTAGAGTACCGGGTGGTAGCTGGCTAGTGACAGTGTGTCAGGTTCAGGGCAGGGTACTGGGCGGAGTCGGCTAGTGATGACTGTTTAACATTCTGATGGCCTGGAGATGGAAGCTGTTTATCAATCTCTCCGTCCCAGCTTTGATGCACTTGTACTGTCTCCGCCTTCTAAATGGTAATGTGGTGAACAGGCCGTGGCTCGGGTGGTAGAGGTCTTTTGATGATCTTCTTGGCCTTCCTGTGTCACCGGGTGCTGTAGATGTCCTGGGTGCTGTATACTATTAACAATTCACTTTTCTTAGATTCATTTTTTTCCCTCCTTAACATCAGT